ACTCCACGCCATTCATTTCTTTGACGAGTTTAAAAAACAACATTCAACCAGTGAGTGCCCTCATGCCACATGGATTGCATTCCTCCGTGTGAAATTCAGAATCATACCCAGTCTCCTCTCCCATCAACGTAACTGTTGAATGTATTTACTGACGAGCTGTTCCAGATCAGATTTGCAGTCTTTGTAATTGTAATCATTGAATGTAAGACAAGTGCGCCACAAGCTCATGTTAATGTACTCAGTCAATGTTGAGGATGTTTAAAAAATATGCTGTTCGCCAAGTCAGACCTATTTACGTTTTTTCATTTCTCTCACCGAACACGTTCACTTCAAGACAAATTCTGATTGGTGACTTTTTCATTTCCAAAGCTTGACTGAAATTGTGTATCCAGTCTTTATAGTCTTCATATGAGTTACTGTGGTAGTTAAGTGCAAGATTCAATGTGACAATTGACGGGTTTTTTGATAAAAAAAAAAACCAGACCGTTCACCCAGCCTCCACTCATCTCACCGCAGTTATTGACTGAAATATTTAGCGTTGTTATTGACATGTTGTCTTCCAAACCCCGCGGCGTTCCAACCACCCAAACTCCGCGTATGTTCTTGTAGTTGTTGACCACAATACTGAGCGTGCTTAATGACGCGTTTACCTCCGAACCTCCCCACCAAACAGCATCGTAGTCATCGCCATACATGTCACAGTAGATGTTCTCTGTAATACTCAGGGCGGTGACTGATGTGTTTTCTTTCAAACCACAATACAGTGCACTCTTCCAGTCCGTATCCATGCCACAGTAGATGTTCCATGTAATACTCAGCGTGGTTATTGACGTGTTTCGATTCAAACTATCCCACAGAGCAGGTATCCATTCGCCTGGGGCTTCCACTCTGTAGCTGTTGACTGTAATACTCAGCGTAGTTATTGACGTGTTCTGTGCCACACCACTCCACAGACCACCCAAAATGCCTTCCTTCCAGCCACCGTAGTCGTTGAATGAGAGGCTTAATGTGGCAAGTGACACGAATTTCGCCAAAACGCCGCCAGCACTACATCCCCAGTCCACTTCACTTGAGTTCCACGGGTTATCCCAGTTCAGACTCAATTTACTTACACGCGAGCAGTTAGACTCGAATTTTGTAAACGCTTCTTTTAATGACGAAGAATCAACTCCATATAACTTAACTTCATCGCATCTTTTGTTAACTACATTCACGTCTTGAACATTTAAAGTAAAGGTAAATGTTTGATTGCATTTAAGTGATTGAAGGATGCTGTTTCCATCTCTCGTCAACTCTCCCCGAATGTTGATACTTAAGTCGGACAGTGGGCATGAGTTAACTTTGTCAAAGTTCTCAGCCAAACAGGTAGCAACACTATGTAGATTATGGTATATTGGCTGATATACCATAATGGCTAAGCCAATAAAAATTCTTGAATTGCATTATCCGATGATCTAGTTTTTAATAATTACAGTTATAACTTTTGATTACGCAGTTTATGGTGGGAGTATTTCATGCATTCACATTGAACAACACACATGTTGATGAACAGACAACAAGGCATTCATCCCTCTAAGTTACTCAAGTACTTTAAAGTTTAGCAACTGAGGTTCTAAATGTGGAAAACAATAATCCCTTCTTTTCTTCGTTACTTGCATACAACTCCTGGTAATTGTGAAGAACAGCTCCCCTCCACCGACAGTTGGCCAACTGCCAGCTGACAGTTGGCTGACATTAAACCGACAGGCCACCGATAGGTAACCAACAGGTTAGCGACAGGTGGTGAAATAGCTCTATTAGACACCATATGTCCATTTTACAAAAGTGATTAGAGCAGACATGTGCATTTTTGCATTCAAAACTCATCCCCTAAAATAGAATTGTCTGGTTATGAGTAAAAAACCCTTCCTTGTTTAACCATAAAACTCGAACCACTCATTGATTGAGTGGGATATCTGTGCAACATAGATGGTGGCGAGGCGATTTAAACACAAAATAATTATAAATATTTGCTAAAAACTCACCTTCAGACAGATCTCCTTCCTCAGATGTTGGGTTTTTATGGCCTGGAAAGAGGATAAAGAGACGTCTAACTCCCCGTGTCATTCTCTTCAGATACATAGAACTGGCCATGATCAAATGAACTCTCCATAGTCAAGAGAAAATAAACTACAATTGGTCCCCAAGAGGATAACATTGCAAGATATGCACAATTACTGCTAAACTAACAATATCTTTTCACATCTCTGAGCAATGATATGAGCACTGAAATTGATTGTAATTTAACTCACTCTGAATGTGTTTTCTCTGATAACTGATTTTGTCAGGAGCTGAGGGAAATTGTCCATATTCAACAGAGGAATCTTGAAAATAGCAACCAGAGGAGCCTTCCAGGGCTAAAAATGAGAAATAACATGATTTTTTGGGGGGTCCAGTTTCTCACACTCTGAATACTTAAATGTATTCTGATTTTTCCTGGAGTTCAGACACCTTTCCAACTTAAAGGATTTGGCGACTTTCAGTGCTTTCTGTTACCATTAATGGGACTTGTCTGGTGTTTTCTGTACTGTAAGATCAAATCAAGCTTTTGGTTTCAAAATGATGCAAAACAACAATTTGATCAAGGTTTTTCTTGGGTAGTTTTCTTTGACCTTTCATAACACACAGTGCACTCAACTCATTTGTCTGCCATGACCCATACAAACACAGTTTAAAATTTTTCATTTGCACTATGATGAAAGCGGTTCATAAAGACATGCAAAATCCAATCAATCACCAATAACTGCTATACTGTGCTTACAAA